TGTGACAGTAGGCAACTCCGGCTTGCAGCTTTAACTACAAATTCCAACATGCCTTTGCCTCTGGGAGTCATGCCTGTAACTGTCAGCCTTGCAATACCTCATGGGACTTGTAGAGGAGGGCCGGAGCTGCTCACCCTTGCCTTAAGGCCTCGTTTAGACAGACGTCAGGCTCCACCGCCCTCGGAAAATTGATCCGCGGTGGACCGCTATTCATAGGGCAGGAGAACAGTGGCTGACAAGCATTCAGGAGGTGATATTGCCACCTCCTGCTTGCTGTTGGGTTTTTTTGGATGCCAAGTGGAATTGTTCATTAAACTCTCATGGCGCAACCACGTGTCAAACGGGCACATGGTTGTGGCGCAGTCCCATTTACCTCTGTGGTTGCATTTGGCAGAGGGCACCAACTGCCCAATGGGAAATGTCGTATAATTTATGCTCCTCCACAGAGCAAAGCATCGTGGCCGTGGCAATATGTACAGCAATGTCAGTCCCAATACTAACATTACAGCAGGTAGCTAAGGAGCCGTAAAACGACAGCTCAACTGCCTGATTTTACCACTCTTTAGCCACCCATCTAAATGAGGCCTAAAAGGGGATTTTTCTTGCTTTCCGTTGTGTCTCTTGGACAGGACATTAAAGGAAATCTCCTTGATGGGACAGACAGGAAAACAAAAACTTACAGTGGTCCTAACAATTACCCACTGTATGCAAAACTATAAAAAAGTTTTGATTTTGCACATTTTGCTTTGTCGTGCAGCTGGGTGGCATCAGTGTGTGGTGGTTACATCGTAAGTATACGTTTTTTGAATTGGCAGTGTACAAGTGTATGCCTCATTTAGGTCATCGCACAACAGCTTAGTGTATTCCGCTGCAGTGGCCTCAGGTGCCATCCGGTGCACTGCATAAAAAATGCAATGTCTGCATTTTTCCGCACCACACATCACACCAGCCCTGTGGCGTGAACATGATGCATAGAAAAAGTAGTTTTTTGTGTGTCCTTGCGGTGAGTGGCGTTAATTCAGTGTGGAAAAGCATCAGTCAGCACAACTGGTGCGAATGGGCACTTAAAGTAGAACTACTACAAAACTTTTTTTTTTTATCATCACATAGTGTTGGATAGGTTAGAACCTCAGTCAGGTTGTTGCTGAAGTCTGTGCCCTGTTTTGGGAGATTTCCTGTCCTGGCAGCTCACATAAAATTAATACCTAAGAAGACTAATGTATGTGAATAACATGGAAAGTTTAAAATGTCGCCCTCTTTAGGGGAAAGCATCACCATCCTACACTAGTCAATAATAAACACAAACTAAGTCTAATTGGAGTTTTGTTGGTGCTACATTAAAATTGAAAAACCATCTACATTTATAAATATTTATTGAAAAAAAAACTAAAACTCCTGTAGGACATAAAATGGATGATATAAGATTGTAGACATAAAAAAGCTATGTAACAAATAGTTGCCTCACCTGAGGTCACCATCATATAAAAGCATCACAGTCACCATGACCCTAGGAATGGGACACCCGGCATTTCGTAGGCACTCTAGATATTCTCTTCAGGAGATGTGGTTGCTATATGATATGTTGTTATATACAGATGTTCCTCACTTACCGACTTACCTGTTTTGCGACCACTCGCACTTACGATCGACCTCCGACCGTCAGCGTCAGTGCGACGGGTCGCCGGCGGAAGTGACATCCCCCGATCTTCACTGCAGGTCTCGGTAAGTATTTCCATTGCCGGATGTACAGTACACTGTTTGGTACTGTACATCGGCAACGCTATAAAGTACTGTACTAATGCAGTATAGTACTGTATAGAGTTCCTCACTTAACGACCAATCCGTTTAACGACCTGGTCGTAGGAACGGAACTCGGTCGTTAAGTGAGGAATACCTGTAGTGTATGAAAACAAAAGAGCAGCCATCTTAAAAACAATTGGGTCATCTGAATGCTATGAATCGTCCATCCAGAACCCACCAAAGAGGAGAATTCACAAGCGATTACCAGCGCTGTCTTTAAAATATAAGAATGCAAGGTTGATTCACTCTAATGGACAGTAGGAGAAGGGTCCGGTTGGACAACGTCACGGCTGTGGCTTATATCAATCATTAGGGGGTCAGCAGAATGCCGTGCACATCCCAGGGCATGGAAAACTGTCAGGCGTAATTCCTTTGTCGGTAATGTTGTCTAAGATAGAATGGTCCCTCCAACCAAGGATGTTTGAGGACCTCTGTCATAAGTGGGAGATGCTGGACGTGGACCTTCTTGCATCCAGGTTCAACCATAAGCTGAACAAGTTCATTGCCAGGATCAGGGATCCTGAGGACTTCATGGTGGATGCTCTGGTGACTGGTGGCATCAGTTCAGTCTGATATTCGCCTTCCGTCTGGTGAAGCTTCTTCCTCATCTTCTCCACAGGATTAAGGTGGAGGGCATTCCAGTGATTCTCATTGTTCCAAACTGGCCCAGGAGTATGTAGACAGAAATTCATCTTTAACCAGGACACAAAACAACTAGAGTGATAGGACAGAAGTACAGTATATGCATTCCCAATAAACAATGTATGTATCAGTTTATTTCTTCATAATTTACTTTATTTGGTTATGTAATTAGGTACATTTGTATATGTATGCATATACTGTATATGTGGTTTTTCATAATAATAGGGTTAGAATTTGGGGTATCACTGGGACAGAAGGACACAGACAAAAAAAAAGGTTCTAACTGCAAAAAACAAATGTCCTACTCTCCCATTACTGCTCCTACCTCTAGCTATCAAAAGCCCCAGCTTGTCATATTGTAAGGCAGAGCTGGACAAATCCCAGGAACCAAGTAGCCATTGCTCCTTAAAAATTAAAGCTGGTGCCCAACTTTTGAGATTTTCTCTAGCTGTTGTTAAAGGAGAACTATGGGGTCAGTGTTTTTCCCCATAGTTCTCCTTAGGGTAACGGGAGGACACAAACTAGCGTCCTCCCGTTACCCTAAGCTCAGTATACCGCGTGCTACAGCTCGGAGCGGATCCCGGCGTAGATTACGGGATCCGCCCAGCTGCGTGAGGAACTGGCTCCTAGAGAAAATCCTGCTGCATTCTGGATTGTATTATAGACTGGTTCTTGAATTCCATATTGATTTCTCCACCCCCCACCCCATTGTGAGAAAACATAAAGGTTTATACAAGATAACATGGAAACATATTTTTTTAGGTGTGCCAAACATGGAGTCTGGATTTCTGAGCCCTACACCAGTGACAACTTTCCTTTTCACCTACCAATAGTAAGTGTTTTATTTTTAAAAATTAAAAAAAAAATGCAAATACCCAAACAAAGCTAGTAAAAACATCTTTATTGTACTTTATTGTACAATTCCAAAACTTTGTACAAAACAATACATTCCTTTCAATTAATGTAGAAATTAGTAAAGACTAAACAATATATAGCTTACTTGCATATTATATATAGATTCATTTCACTAGCAGGTCGGACACTTGGATCTTTTATATGAGATGCCAAACCCAGGTGATGAGAGTAACTTACCTTGCCCACAAAAACAAGAAGTTTGATAAAATTTTACTGTTAAATATAGGATTGTAAAAAATCCTCCCTAGTTAATTTAATGATTCATTACTGTGCTGCATGTAGTTGATATAATATACAGTATAGTGAATAACAAAACAATTCTATACAAAATATGTCGTTTTTGCTGTTTTGAAAAGTACCGTACCATAAAAGTGTAGTTAGTGGGTGCTAGTTTACCTTTCACTACTTTCCATTATTTTCAGCTTTCTGAAACATATTTAAACATGCTGAGAGCCCGACAAACCTCCATGGACTTGATCAGCATTTTCAGCCTTCTTCATAGCACCCTTTAAAAGTGTGCAAAATCTCAGGCACCCCAGTCTAAAACCTAAAATAAATGTGAAAAATGATGTTTGATCCAAAATCCATACCAGACTCATATCCTAGATAGGGGTATAGTATGTATTCAAATGGGGGATGCTATGTAAAAACACAAAAAAGGGGTTCTGACCTTCAAATCAGGAGCCCCCATCATATCAGAGCCCCAGCTTTCACATCAGAATCTCACCTTTCACATAATAGTCCCTTTTTATGTTAGGTGCCCCCCTCTTTCACACCTCCTCTAATGCTAGGAGCCCTCTTTCACATCAGAGCTCCCCTTCACATCACAAGCCCCCCTTCACATAAGAAGCCACCCATGACATCGCCGCCCCCCCCCTTTACATCAGAAGCCCTCCCTTTATGTCAAGAGCCCTCTTCACATCAGAAGCCTCCCTCTTCAAATCAGAGCCCCCCTTTATATCAGAGTCCCCTTCTTCACATCACAAGCCTGCCTGCGTCATGGAATGGCATGACATTGTGCGAACATTTCAGGACACCCCAAGGAAGCCAGAAGAGAACCCAGGGTGCCATGACACCTTGGGTGAGAAAGGCTGGTCTAGATGCCAAGCAAGATGACATTTTCTGCATGAAGAGAAAATAATTTTAAAGCATGGTCAGCCATTGATTGTACTTCCTATTTTAATGTTCTGCATATTACTACTCCGCAAAAACTGCATATGCCATGAATATGCATTGATTCCATGACCTTGCCTGATAAACTATGGATAAAGTAGAATAGAGATCCCGATCTCCTTATGCTTCCAGAGTAAATTGTCTTATAATGATCATGTGGGATGGTATGGCAGTAGTTTTACCACCATATATAGTCATAGAGATGAGAGATGATCCACTCTCCCACGAAAAGCAAAAAGTAGTGTTTTATGGGTCTCCGTCAGCACAGATTATTTTCATCTTGATAAATCACTTGTCACTGGGAAATATATATGATTTAACATCTGTATTATACAGATATGGCGCTCTGCATCACTTAAATCTTAATTTTTTAGCAGATACCACACATATTAAATACTGCAAAATGTATAGCATAGAGTAGATATTTAAATAGAAATTCAAGGGATTAAGCAGTTCAATACCTACATTGCTCATTGTCTTGGCACATATTTTTGATTGCATAACATCCACCTTCTGCATCTGCAATATAATACATTGCTGCTAGAATAACCTGTAACTGATTGTCCCAGCAGAAGATATCAGCAGAAAATATCTAGCACAACAAAGAGAACAATAAGTCCTTATAACGAGTGTCATTTCCAAAGGTTAACAGCTGTAGTCTTAGGGAGTTCCCATTAGCAGATAAAAGGTCAAAGCAACAATCAGTAGAAGACAAAATGGAGAAGAGAATGTTTGGTAGGCCGCTGAAGGCATAAAAATATCCTCATAACGGTAAATGCTGACAACATTCTCTGAAACGGGAGGTGCATCAATATCATGTCTTGTTATAGAACCTGGAAGATCAAAAGAAGGACAATAATTATGACATTTTACATGCAAAACATTTCTATCAATAAAACTTCTTCCTCTGGCACACCTTATTGTTCACATTAAACAGTGCTGTTTGGCTCTTACCATGCCTCTGCTTGCTTTCTCCTTTTAAACTCCCCCAGTCAGGAGACTCATACAGTCATATATGTAATATGTACTTTATTAAAGCCCCGTTGAACTTTCAATTTAAATAGACTAAATACATTTCAGTTACATAAAAAGAAAAGGTGTGCAAAGTATTACAGTTTAGCCTGTGTAGAAAAGCGTGTGCCCTGCCAGCATGCTACAGAGAAGGGCCCTTATTCTCTCTATGGAAGGGGTAGTCTCTCTGCAGAGGTCCGACAGAGCCCCTTTTGAGTCAGAGTTAGAGCTCTCCAATTAGAAAAGATTCAACAGAGCTGGTGTGTTGAATATGTCATATCACGGGGCATATACATGTCATATCATTTCATAGGACTGGGTAACAGACTTTTACTTACCTGATCCCCACTTTTGCAGCTCCCTCTAGGCTTCAATACCAGCCATCACCTTCAGTCTCTTTCCCCCCAAGGTCCAGTTGTCAGAGGTCCGCTGATGATATCACGTACAATGCAGGGCCCATATCCCTGGAGGTGGAGGTATGACGTGGGCACTGCTAGAGAAGCTGCTGTCAATCATGTACCTAGGACCCCCCCCCCACAGGTGTGAGGGCTGGGAGATGGTTAGGGATAAAGCATGATGCTATCCATCTGATGAAGAAGCATGATGTGGACACTGCTGGAGCACTTGCTGTCAGTCATGTTCTTAGTACCACATCAGTAGGCATGGGCTACTAGGAGATGGACTGGGGCAGAGTGTGCTGTTGGTCTGATGTGAAGGCATGATGTAGGCACTGCTGGAGGCTTAGTGGCAGCGCCACACAGGCTAGATCAACCTGCAGATTGTTGCCGCCAGGAACAAAGAACTCTATTCCTATTCTCAAACATTTTAGAAATAAAGGGCACAGTGAGATAGACTTGTTTAATAGGGAAGCTTTTATGATAAATTTGATTTTGAGTTTACAGACACTTTAAGTTACTGATAAAGTTTGGCTATTGCATCTAAAAATTAATATAATTTAATAAATTAACAAAAGTAGTTGTATACAGGTAAAACTCGAATAATTAGAATATCATGCAAAAGTAATTGCAGTAAGTGCTGCAAAAGGGGCCCAAACCAAGTACTGAGTACATATGCATGCTTATACTTTTCAGAGGTCCGATATTGTTCTATGTACAATCCTTGTTTTATTGATTGCATGTAATAATCTACTTTTTTGAGGTTGTGGATTTGGGGTTTTCATGAGCTGTAAGCCATAATCATCACAATTATGACAAATCACGGCTTGAATTATCTTGCTTTGCATGTAATGAGTCTATCTCATATATTAGTTTCACCTTTTAAGTTGCATTAGTGAAATAAATGAACTTTGCACGATATTCTAATTATTTGAGTTTCACCTGTATGTGTACCTTGCCATAGCATAAACATAAACAGATTATAAAGAATTTCTTACCTTGAATTGCTGGTCCCCAGGCAAACAGATAGTACCAGCTTAAGTGCAAATCCACTATTGTCTCATCTCTAGGAACATACACAGGGCGTTTAAACCGACATGTTACCCGGTTGTTTTCAAACACGCCTTCTTCATCTCTAGCTGGGTTTCTCTGAATTTCTTTAGCCCACTGGCCAACATTATAAAAATGTTGGATGCGTACTCTCCCATTGTCATCATGCACACAGGCCATGACATCGTCCCCTCCCTGAAACAGAAAGTTTTCATTAGGAGCTGAGATATACAAACTATACTGAGGTAACAATATAATGACAAGATGAACAGGCTCTTGCACCTACATTTTGCTAACTATTATACTGTATACTGTAATTAGTATATATATTTATTAGTGTATGAAACATTTATGTATTGCATTAACTGCCCTATCTTCCTTTGTTTTATCTAGTGTATTACTTTGCACACCACTACGGGAGATGCTGATGATGTCACATAATACACATAAATAACAATAATGGAAATTTAAGCCCTCGGAAAACATTAGAATTTGCATCTGACAACCAGATTTAAACGAGAACTACGGAGTTAGGGCTTTTCCCCATAGTTCTCCTAAGGGTAACGGGAGGACACAAACTAGCGTCCTCCCGTCACCCAAAGCTCAGTACACCGCAAGCTACCGCTCGCGGTATACTGAGACGCCGGAACGGATCCCGACGATTCTGTCTGGATCCACCCAGCTGTGTGAGTGACAGCTGGCTCTGCCTATCTAGAGGCAGAGCCAGCTGTACCCGCCCCGTCCGTTCCGCCAGTCAGCGCTGGAGGATCGGACAGGTGAGAGGGGGAATCCCTGCAGGGGGCCGTGATTGAGAGTCACGGTCTCTGCAGGGATAGATCGAGAAGTGAGCGAGCGCCGGTATGTGTTCGCTCACTTCCCGATCTACTGAGCCGGCCTGTGACAGTTTCATTGTCACAGGTCGGCACAGATTATGAGGCTGAGTGAAAATCACTCGCCTCATAATTCTCCTTTAAGCTGGTTATACACCGGTAGAATTTTGTTAGAAAAAAATTCATTTTCAGAACTTTTATTCAAATTTCTAATAGTTAATTTTGACCAGTGCATACCCAAATTTATCCAGTAAAACAGTGAAAAGAATTACTGAGATTCTGAGGTGGGTGCAGTCATTTAACAACATATGTTGTCTAATTTTCATATTCCGGTACCAAAAACATTTCATGATATACTTGAACACTCTGCACACACAGCTACACTTAGCACAGGGAACATAAATGAATGATATGAATGGGTCTGCTCTTTATCCTAAATTATATACTGTTTACATATTGTTTTCCTATTTTTGCATCTTAACACTGATGATCTCAGAGTGGGCTCTACCTAAATTCATCCTCCTCCATCTCTTATTTTGTTTCAGAATAATCAAACACAGACACCCACCAACATATTTATATCAAGCACTTGAAGTATAATCAAAGGTAAACTTTTTTTTTTTAATTTGGAGTAGTAAGGGGTTGGAGAAAATTACTCTCTCTGTTTGTCTTGTTCACCAGTGGCAGTGGGAATGAACGTGAATCCACAATTTTGAGTTGCCACCAAAACAGAAATAGAGGGGAAATCTTCCAAAAGGGATGCTTGTTTTCATGACAACTGTCTTAAAGGAGAACTATGGGGTCAGTGTTTTTCCCCATAGTTCTCCTTAGGGTAACGGGAGGACACCCTCACATGGGAAACGTGTCATCCCACCCCTGTTGAGTCTACAGAAAAGGAATTTAAGGGAAATCTCCCCAATGTTATGCCTCATAACTTTCTGATATGAGAAAAAGGGACGCATTCCAACACAATGGGGGGATTTATCAAAACTGGAGCAGACAGAATCTGGAGCAGTTGCCTATGGCACCCAATCAGCTTCTCTCTGTAGTTTGTTCAGTTAAGATTTGAAAATGAAAGAGAGAAGCTTATTGGTTGTCATACACAGCTGCTCCAGATTTTGTCTGCTCCAGTTTTGATAAATCCACCAAGCAATGCAGACCCCCTGCCACACAGCTAATTATGTGGACTATTAAGAATTTATATGCCAAAAATGATTGGTTAAACCCAGAATAGTTTTTTTTTCTCCATTATTTTTCCCTTATACTTTCTTTTCAAAATTCAAAACAAGATGATTAAGATATAAGGTAAATGTTTTAGTACAGAATAACACTTTTGGTAGTTAAATACAACAAAAACATAACAAAAAGAGGAACAACTGAGGTAGAAAGAGGGACAGATGGATTTAGTTCCAAATAAGGAACAGTCCTTCCAAATGAGGGACATTGGGAGATATGCAATGAGACGTGGCAAAAAAAACTTTTGGCTTTAGATTTACTTTAATAAGCAGTGGAGTTTCCACAATTCAGTTTTTGATTTGGCTCAATCACAGAGATGCTGATTCACTTGTGTGGTAATTTCAGAGGCCATGCCTTTGTGACCTTTATTCGCTAATCTGGTTAAGTGTACACCATATTTCTCAGTAGTTCTCTTCTTGCAATCATTCTTTCTCTTTGCCAGTGCAGATTGTCCATGTTTGGCACATCCTGTCATTATTTGTAAGACTGTTCCCCTCGACATATTAAATAATTGAGTATATTTTGGCAAATGCACCTGCAATTTAGGCTCCACTTATTTTGCCTGTTTAGAGCTCTGTCAGCTGACACATGTTCCTTTGAAAACTCTGATATCAAAGGGCTAGCTGACACACCTTGTTGATACTTGCCACACATTACTAACCGGAAACCAACCTAATTTGGTCCAACATTGTATACATGATTAACCACTTAAAGGCCATAGTGTTTCACCCCCTTCCTGGCCAGGCCATTTTTCAGTATTCAGCGCTGCGGTACTTTGACTGATGTTTATTCTGTCATGCAACGCTTTACTGAAACGATTTTCATACCATTTTTTGGGGACAGATAGAGCTTTCTTTTGGTGGCTTTTATTCACCAATGGGGTTTTTATTTTTTACTATATAACAAAAAAAGTACCATACATTTTGAAAAAAAACATGTTTCCCTATAAGATTTTATTAAACATTTATTTTTACCCCAATTTTTTGGTACAATATAAAAGACGGGGTCACGTCGGGTAAATAGACACTAAACATGTCAACCTTTAAAATTGCGCACGCCCGCGAAATCGCAGAAAACGACCGCAGCCAAAATTGGCCATAGGCGACGCTTTAAACGTTTTTACCGCTCATCAGTTTAGTGTCATCAGTGATTGATGGCCCGAGAATTATTGTTCTCACTGCGACGTTCGCGGCGATATGAAACATGTGCTGCATAATAGGCGCAATCGTCGGTTTCGTACATAGGCGCACCCGACGCATGTTTGCGTGTGTATGTGGGGGGCGGGGGACTTTAAAAAAATGTTTGTGTTATTTTTTTTAATTTTTTTTAGCTTCTTTATTTTTTTTAGCTTCTTTATTTTTTTTAATGCTGTAATTTTTTTTTTTGACTTAACTTTATTGCTATAACATAGGGGACTAAGGAATCCCCTATGTAATAGCCAGTTCACCAAACAGGTCCTCTTTATGGAGACATCAGGGGTCTCAAGACCTCTGATGTCACCTAGGGACCCCCACAGAAGCTGATGAAGCACAGATCTGCTCCATCAGCTTCTCTCCGGTGTTCTGCACCGGAGAGTGACACTGAATGCAGGAAGTGATGTAATATACATCACTTCCTGCATTCGGGGACAGGAAGAGAGATCAAAGGGATGATCAAGTAATGATCTCCCTTTGATCTCCTGTTAGAGCGTCGCCGTGCCGGTCCCAGCCGCACCGGCCACATCGGAACACGGGACCGGCAGCGGCGGCGAAGAGACGAGCAGGAGGAGGTACGGGGGGGGGGCCGGCGCACACCCGCAGATCCTGCAAGCGATCGGGCGTCTCTAGAGACGCCTGACCGCTTGTATGTAAACAGCCATCGCTGGCTGTTTACATGCTGACGGTTTTCCCTCTCGTGTGCGGCACTCAGCGCGCACACGAGAGGGGGGAGGGGCAGGACGTCTTAAGACGCCCTCCCGCTCTGAGCAGACGTCCATCTGGCTGTTCACAAACGGCCATGGACGTAAGGTGGTTAAAGGTGGCCATACACTTTACAACCCTCGCAACACTTTTGTCTTGCGAGGGTTGTAAAGTACTTAAAAAAACGTACGATCTGCCCATCTTGGACAGGCAGATCGTACTTGCGATCATCGCAAGCCCGCCCCTCTGAGGGGTGGGCTTACGATGACTGTAATGAGGGGCAGGCTTACGATGACTGCAAACGGGCAGTGTGCGCGTGCACACATCGGCCCGTTCGGGAGTTGTCGGACAACTGTTCACAAACGGCCATGGACGTAAGGTGGTTAAAGGTGGCCATACACTTTACAACCCTCGCAACACTTTTGTCTTGCGAGGGTTGTAAAGTACTTAAAAAAACGTACGATCTGCCCATCTTGGACAGGCAGATCGTACTTGCGATCATCGCAAGCCCGCCCCTCTGAGGGGTGGGCTTACGATGACTGTAATGAGGGGCAGGCTTACGATGACTGCAAACGGGCAGTGTGCGCGTGCACACATCGGCCCGTTCGGCAGTTGTCGAACCAGCAGGCCACTAACTCGCCGAGAATCGTACGGTTCCCGGCGGGTTTTCTAGCATGCTGGTCCGACGGAAGACGTGCGACCGTACAGTAGAAACGGTTGCACGCCTTCCATACACTGCACGATTCTCGTACGATCGCGGGATTTCCTGCGATTCTCGTACGAGAATCGTGCAGTGTATGGGCACCTTTAGTTACTTTTAAGCTAAACATCTTCCTCATGTTATGTTTCTGGTATTTTGTCCTCCCTTGTTCAAGCAGTTTCTGCAAGCTGCATAACATATACCATTTTGTAAGATATTAATTGTGAAGTAGTTGTAGTTGTGACTACTATGGCCAAATCTTTTTCTGGGTATTTTTAACACAGGTTATATCATGTGCATTGTGTAATGTTAAAGGGTATTATTCATAAAGGGATTATGTATGCATGTGATGAACATAAGTGATGATTGA